TTTTATCAAGTCGCGAGGGAAACCGGGCAGATGTTCCCGGGCACCGCTTAGCTCGCCTCATTACCACGAGTCACGTTAATGAGCTTGCGAACCTTAATTCTTCACCCGTCGTTCCTCCTTCTGCCGCCGGGATTAAACCAACCAAGACGTCGCGTGTCTGTCGGCGATCGCCAAATTATCGCCGCTGAAATTTCAAGGAATTCTCTTCGTCTATTCGGCGCCACGCTGTTGCACAGCGTCAAATTCTTTCCGTGTGAGAACAAAATTTCTGTGCGATGCGGAATTTTGTTTAGCGTGAAATTCTTTCTCGAAGGAAAAAGTACACGTTACGTATCTTTGTTCAAAAACTTTTCAAAAACCGGTTTCTCCAACCAAAAGAAGATTGCAAACACTCTCGTGAGAATCTCGTAAAACGTATTCCAAAATTCGACAAAAAAATGTTGTTTAAAAAGTATTGCCAATGAAAACAAAAACCAGATTAAGTAGAAAAGAATTCGAGAAAACCCTCGGGGGCGCTCGAGGGCGACGGGTCGTAGATAAAGATAGATGCGTCGGTTTCCGGCGTGTCGAGTTAACGACTTGAGTTTTATCTTGGACGGTGGGGGCTGTTTCGAAAGGGGACGGAAAGCGTTAACGTGGCCGCCACGAGTGGAAGAAGGACGCGGACGGACCGCGAACGCGACAGAGATCTCGAATTTCGAGAGAGAGAGAGAGAGAGAGAGAGAAACGAAAACAAAGAGGAATGATGACGGCGAGGAGAATGGCAAAGCGTGAAAAGGAAGGGAAACAACAAAACTCCCTTCTGCATTGTACGCAGGTACTCTCTTTTTTTTAGCGCACAATCGCAACATTAGTTTCGACCAAAAGAAAAACAAAACTGCAATCCGTCAAACATTTCGTGTATCGGATAATCGAGTTCAAATTAACTTCTTTGTAAAAAACCTTATCTGCTTTTTTACGATCTTCCGACACTCTTGTCTCGGTTATTTTCTTTGTCGGGAAAGGAGAGATCGAATTTGTCGCTTCTGCGTCGTCGTCGTCGTCGTCGTCGTTCGTATTCGGATATTTTAAAAACTCGCAAAGTGCGACAGACGCTTAAAACTCGGAGGCCACGAAGGGAGAGGAAAAGCAAGTAGAAAAGGAAGGAAGGACCAGCAGCCACGGAGGCAGAACCATACCTCGAGTCATCTGGCAGTCAGCAGGATTGGAAATAGACGCGGCTCCTCGCCCTCTCTTCGTCGTCTTCCGTTCTCCTCTATCTTCTTCTTCTCTCTTGCTTTCCCGAGAAACTCTCGACAAGCTCCGTCTCGCTCTCCCGGCCATTTCTCTCTCCCGGTGCGAAAAGAAAAAACGAACTCTACGCGAGAGCATGCCAAACTCGAAAGCGAAGTCGACGATGTTTTCATTGTAACGGTGTCGCCAGTCCCTCCCGATTCTCGCAGTCAAACTTTTTTACGAGATTCGAGCTACTAAGCAGCCTGTCAAAGCGTCCCAATTTTTGTCCCGACGCATTACCGAGTGAAATATCACGAGACAGTCTATGTATCGCAATTATACAAAAGATTTTCACAAATGAAAAATATTAATAGCAAAAAAGCTTCTTTTGCGATTTGTTAGTTTTTTTTTTTTTTTTAACTTAGCTCGAACGGCAATATATATCACAAAGTGTGTTGTCGCGTTTTCTTCTTTCTTCGTGCAAAAAGAGACGGGATTGAGAGATCCGTCGACCTGTCAACAAGTATCGCGACAAATGTTTTAACACCGACCGATCGTTGTTGAGAGAGGGTAGCGCATCAGCCAACCAGACGGTAATCAAAATCCGTGGACACTGAGCAAAGTCAAACAGTCGACCCGGTTGTCTTTACTCAGCAAACTCGTGGAAGCGCGGAGCCAATATTTAGACAGCGACCGACTCAAACATCGTAATCCACCTTAAAACCTTGCGCGACACGCGCCAATCGTTTCTCTCCATCCGCAAGCCCCGTTGTTGTTTTAACTTTATATTATTCGCGGCGATAAGTCTCGCCATAATTATCTCGCGATAGTTAATTAAAATCTCTTCCTTTTAGATAAAATCAACTCTCACTTCGTAGTAGCGTCGAGATTATTATTATTATTATTATTTTGTTTTTTAATCGCAGTTTTCTCTATTTAAAGCGCGATATTCGCGATTAGCGAAGAAGATGTCATCCGTTCTTCTTTTCTTCCTCTTAATTTGTTTCCTCTCTCGCGACGAGACTCGCGACTAAGAACCTGTTGCTTGCACGCGATGCATGTTGGCTCATAAATTTTAAGACGCGCATTGATTTAATATCGTTACGCGAGCGACATGAGCACACGCACTCTTAGCAGTTCTGAAAGACTTGATTCTGCTCGCACGAGGCTCCCGTTAACGCGAGAGAGGCCGCGAAACGTTGTCGTAAGGGAAGAGAATCTTTGAAGATCCACCAACCAGACACGGATCGTTTCTTGATGTTTCGAGCGTGGCGAATTGCCATCATTCAAAACGGGACGCTCAACCTCTTCCTCATGATGGCGTGGGGGTTTGTTAACTCTCTCTCTCTATCTCTTCCTGAATCCCCGTCGCCTTTCCCCGAAAAGCGAAACGAGCGCGTGCATTGTGTGACGTCAGCGAGGGACAAAAACTCATTATCCCTATCCCGCGAACAAAGTTATACTTTGATCATACGACCGTGCGCCATTGATGGAAGACACCTGTCTGCGTCAAGAAGCGACGCGAATAGCAGCTTTGACGAAGAGACACGCGCCATTTGTCGCGCCCACGAACCGTGTCGTAATTCTATCCGTCAAACAGGAATGTTTTTCTTCTCCCCCCATTCGCGCTGTAAATCATAAAGGTCTCTCTTTCTCTCTCGCTGGAAATACGTTTCTGGTTAATGAGACTCACGTTTTCATACGCCGGGAGCCGGTAAGCGGCTCTTAACAAGATTTATTCGCAACTGCCCCCCCCCATTGACAACTTTACTTTCTTTCTCTCTTCCTCATTTGCAGAGTTTTCGTTCTTGTTTCAATTTTTCTTTTTTTTTTCAGATTGTCCAGCAGCGCGATCGGGACACCCGGTAACGGCAACGGTGGCAGCGCTGGCGGTGGCGGCACCGGCAGCGGGGGTGGCAGCGGCGGAGGGGGTGGTACTGCCGGCAACGGGACTTCCGGTGATTTCCTGCGCAGAAGTCACTCTCTCACGGAACATACCGCCCTCCATCCCGCTTATCGGATCAACTACATGGACCACATTTACCACACGCTCCAAGCCTCCACGCACAGTCCCAACGCCTCGTTACACGGTAATTATTCGTTACACGCAAATAGAAGCGCGTCCGTAGACAGTTTTCTATCCCCCGTCATCTTGTCTCTTACGAACGCCGTCAGAGATCCCCCCCCCCTCCCGCACGAGGGGACCCGCATTTCCGCCGGAAGTTTCTCTTCCAGAATACAAAACCTCTTTCAACGATCTAACGCGCGCGTGATCTACATCGTAGTGACATAATCACGCATTGCTTTTCCCCTACGAAGATAGGGTCTGTACTACTTTTTTATCTTCTTTTTTTTTTGTTAATTTTTTAAAATTTTGTTATCACGTTCTGTTGCCCCATCTCGATTCTGATGCCACGACAATGAATTCCTTTTCTGAATTTTCAGGACTGGGTGGTTTGGGGCCCGAGTACCTTTTGCACGCAGCTGGTCCAGCCAGCACTCTCGCTTCGTCCGAATTCCCGTTCTCCCTCGACGGTAAGACATTCTATTCTAACGACACACGCGTGTCTGTGTCTTCTTTTAACTTTCAAATTCACGCTCAAATGTGTGTAACGCGCGAGAGACCGAGGTATGTGTGCTACAGCTTCACACAGCCGTAGGTGTAGTAGCGCACTACCGGCAGGTAGAAGATCGACTGGTTAAGAGAAGCTAAAAGACGACCGAAAGGGTAAACGGGACCTCGTTAGTCGCCACCGCCGCATAATTGAATCGACTCGGAGCGACACGACCTCATTAACACCTTAGCGCCTACCCTACAGGTTGTCTCATATTTCCTTCTCTTCCCGCGTTTCTGCTCGACTTCTTTCCGCGACTTGATCTCTTCGTTCCACGAACAATATTTACTCGCGACACAAAAGTCGTCGGGATCGTCTTTAAATCCACAACATTGCGGTGCGTCATCTAAAAAACGCCAAGAAAATTCAAATCTCTCGCTTTATTTTCACAAAATGTTTTAACATTTTTTTTTTCGAATATTTCCGACCAGTTTATTTTCAACTTTTCCCGAGAATTGCTTCGGCAGAAATCGGGAGTTTTTATCTGGAACGTGCGAAAAAAGAGAGAGAGAGAGAGAGAGAAAGCGTGTACGATTTGAAAATCGCTGTAGTACGGTGGCATGCCTCGCGCAGAAGCATCGGAGGAGCCACGCCGATCGGAGTGGACGATTGCACCAATTTACATGTCTCAATCCCATGTTCGACCTGCACGCGCGAACGAAACGAAGGGAAGAACGTGGAACTTATCGTGGAACTTGTCGAAGAAGGTACCACAGGGTCCAGGATCTTGCGGGAGGGAAACGGTAGACAAGCAGAGAGAAGAGGCGAGGGGAAGGGAGACAAACGAGGTTCCCCGTTCGCATATTCATTAAAGTCGGCGAGAATTGCGCGACGCGACGTGGGACCGAACCTTTGGGATCCGGTCGAGGTTAAATTCGATCGTCCGATAAATTTTCTTAACAGTTTTTTTTTAGTCTCCTTCCCTGCAATGTTGTTGTTGTTTCGTTCGACTTTGTTTGCAATTTACAAAAACAATCTAACAATTGCGTCGCACTTGTAGCGGGAGAGAGCAAACGTGCGCGCGCGCGGAATCGATAAATCGCTCATTGAACACGCGATCGTCTCACGTCATGCGGAAAAACCGCACGGAGGCGGGAGCCACTGGTGGTTTTCGTCCGGCTGCTCCTACCCTAGCGTGAATTTGATCATTGACCGAATTAATAACCAGATGCGGGAGACAAAGCAGTGCCGATCGTATCACGGGCTTGGGTGAGACGCGACGCGACGCGAAGCGAGTTTCGCAAAAGAAGAAGAAGAAGATAGAAAAGAAAAAAAAGAAGAGGAGCGAAGCTCCAACTGCGAGTAACTCTATACCCGTTGTGCGCGAACGAGCGATCAACCAAGTGGAAATCGAGGAGAAGAGTTGGGCTCGCTCCTCGTGGTCGTCTTCTGCGTGTGTATCGCGTTGCTCCTTAAAGATAGGACGAGGAGAAGGGAGACAGAAAGAAGTTTATATAAGATGGAAAAAAAAAAGAGAGAAACGACGGAAGAAAAAAAGAGTACGAAGGTGAAGGTAGGAGAGAGAGCACTCGCGGCTTAATCCCGTGGGTATTGCTCGCGAGCAAGAAATCAGGGAGAAAAGAGAGAGAGGGAGGGAGAGAGAGAGAAGGTGTCGTGCCGGGAAAAAGAAAAGAGAGAGAGAGAGAGCGCGCAACCACCATGTAACCAACGATGGTACGTACAAGCAAGCCGCCACCAAGCTCTTAAGAAAGTGGTTTGTATATTACGTCGTTGTGCTGCGGTCGCAGGCAAATCGCCGCTAAAACGCTCAAGCCGCAAGATCGCCGGCCTCCTCTCTCGCGCCTCTTCTCTCTTTCTCATTTTGCTCGCTCTTACGTACGCTTCACGATTCTCTTCTTTACTTCGCATCTCTGATTTCTTTCTACTTACTCGCCCCTGATTACCACCTCGGCGGTGGGCGTTAAAAAACGCGCGAAAAAAAATTTCCCTCGCAATCATGTTCATCTTTTAATCAGATGTAATTGAATCGTAAATTATTCCGCCATTCTCGTTTGAACGGAAGCAGCGAATAAGTACGGAGACGTCGAGGAAATGACTGAAAAAATATTGAAACTCGAGATTTGCTCGTCTGGTCTTCAATTGAATTGAATTTGTTTTAGCTTCGGCATCATCGAGACTAGGAAGTCCAAGAGCCTCGGCCATCAGAGCGAGTCGGAAGAGAGCGCTGAGCAGTTCGCCGTATTCGGACAGATTCGACATTGACAGCATGATTCGATTTAGTCCCAATAGCTTGGCGTCCATTGTAAACGGGTCACGGAGTAGCAGCGCGAGCGGGAGCTACGGTCATCTGTCCGCTGGTAAGAGCCGCGTCGATTGATTATTTCCCAACATTTTTTACGACACGATTTTTCCACGATTGTTCGGAAAACGTTCGGATTTTTGGAAAATAAAATTGTCTGACAGTCGTAAGATGGCCGTTGGGCGAGGTGTCACGTTTGACGAAGAAGGATTCACCCGATGCACATAAAGTCATTATACAGGCGGGAATCTTCTTACTCGTGAGTTAAGAACACCCGGTAATTTGCGATTAAATGAAGTAATTAACGAATTAAAATTCAGCCGACGTGCGTTTGTCGGCGTTGCGCCATCGAATATATATCCCCGCAGGATGTTGTTTGCTCGTTAAATTTGTCTTCAAGGTGCGTACACGTCACTACAAACTACGTATCTGTTTTTCGCGTGTGATTTCCGCCAATCTCGCCCACTCATTTCACTTTCGTTCTCACGGGTCATTTACATTTATATAAGTTGTGCCATTCTCAATGTAAACAATTTTTATGTCGTTTAAAAAAATCACCATTGATATTCGTCGATCTTCAATGGATTATACATTTTTTTTTCTATTTTATCGGAATTATACGTGTAAATCGCAATATACTGATATAATTTTTTTTTTTTTTTTAATATTATTAATAAACACTAATAAAATTAACATAGATATACGTTTAAGAAGTCAGCGGGTTGCCATGTATGCGCAACGATAATAGTTTCCTATGTGGCTGCTTTGTGTGTTTCGTAACAACTCGCCGAAGACTCTCGATTGAAATGCAAGCATTGGCCTATGTGCCGGAAGTCTGGCGTGTCGTGCTCGGACTGTTAAGACGGATATGAGCTCGCGGAGTTCGATATCAATTATTTTCTCAATTATTCTCCCTAACGCTACCACATATTCAAGTTGTTGTGTCGAGAAATTAAATTATTCGTCGAAGATTCAACCGGATTAAAATCGAATGTTTATACATTGTTTGTGCAACACTTAAATAATATAAGAAAAAATTGACAGGTTTAGAAAATTATGAAATATCCAGTAAAGAGACCTTACAGCCTGAAAGATCCACGGAAGGAAGTGGTAATGCGATAATTATATATTAATTGGACGCGCGCGTTTCGATCATTTATTTTATTTTAAAATTTTATTTTAAAATTAATTAAATTTTATTTAAAAATTAATATTATCATTTATTTTAAAATAAAATTTTTAAATAAAATAAATGATCGAAACGTGTCCAATTAATATATAATTATCGCATTACCACTTCCGTGGATCTTTCAGGCTGTAAGGTCTCCTTACTCAAATAATATTTACGTTCTTAAGCTCGTCGTAAAAAAACGACGTCATGAAAATAAGTATCACGATAAAACTAAGTGTATCGATTATCTTGTGCTATGTCGCAGCTATGAGTCCGGCGTTGGGCATGCATCCCGGTATGGCACCACACCTGCAACAGCTACAGGCCCACCTTTTGAGGAGCGCGGCGGCGCTTTTACCTCACACGCATCCTCTGCAGCCGCCCGCGCCCCCACCACCGCCTCCGCATCCTCACGCGCACCCTCATGCCCACGGATTATCCCCGCATTCGCAATTGTACCCCGGAGTGCCGCCTCATTCCACGTCGTCGGCGACACTCGGTCCGCACGGGGCCGCGGTGCCGCCGAAGAGCGAGGTAAGAACGCAAAACGTTTTTTTTTTTTTCTACGCGAATAATGCAACATTTTTTATACTCGCGTCGTAAATTTAGCAAATTTCTGTTCCGCTTTATTTTTACTTTATTAATTGAATTCTCGTGTCTTGGTGGTCGTTCGAGCAAGCAAATTTCTAGTCTGATCAATTATCTCGAAATACGAACGCATGCGCGCTCCGACCGAGTCAAGGCGCAATTCGCTCACGGACAGAAGTGCCATTCGATCGTTTATTGCGAGCACGATATACATTCGATGGCCCGTCATCGATTCATTGGGAATAAATAATCCATACCTCTCGTGTGTTCTCCCGTTTTCTTTCTTACTTTCTTTCTCCTTCTTCCGTGTACTTGCCAGCCTGTCGAACTACACAGAACGGCGACAGAAGCGAGACAGAATAACGATAGAGAGAGAGAGAGAGAGAGTGAGATTAGATTACTCTCTCGCGCGCGCATGAGGGTCCTCAGGTTACAAGCAATCTCGTGCACATTATTTCGCCCGATTCCATCCCCTTCGGCGCGCGCGTCTTTATTTTTTCTTCTCTCTGTTTCTTTCTTTCACTCGGTCTGTCGCTTCCTTATATCGTCGTTCTTTCTTCTTACCACATCGTCGTTGTCGCGAGCAAAACTCTTTTCCATGCGCTGATTTAGGTCCGCATTCATAGTCGTTTCTCAAATCTTAAATCTCATCTTTAATCTCAAATTTCAGCTTTCAAATCTTGAATCTCCTTCAACTTCAAATTTTAGTGTAGTTGCTAATCATAATATTCGGTTTTTCATGAATTAATAAAAGTATGAAAGCATCACTCTATGCGCAAATGGATGATTGATTCTTTTTAACTTCTCATCTATGCTTGCTTACAACATTGAATTGTACGAAAGCATTAAGTATCAAGTATGTAGTCGTACCTTAATAATAGAAATTTATAATAAAGTAAACTTAATGACTTTCAATGAAAGGTTAAAAAATCTTTATAGCCTTAAATTAAAGAAAATATATTTCTATATTCTTTGCTTTTATTCTTATATCTGGATTATCTAAGTTCTCTTAATTATCTTAATTATCTTAATTACTTAATTGTAAGTTATCTAAATTATCTGAATTATCTAAATTATCTAATTTATCTAGATTTATCTAGATTATCTAAATCATCTAAATTATCTACGTCGTTTATATTATTTTTTTTTAAAGTGTCTACCTTTTATGTATCTAATTCAAATAATATTATTTAATAATAAGTTTTACGGCTCTCGAAAATCAAACAACGTAAAATGTTTGGTCACTAAAAGTTATACGCTGAATTATTGTTCCGTACTTTGTATATACATATATTCAGGGTGTTCCAGAATTGGTGTAGCATCTCTCGTGAACACATAGAAAGAGTACAACAGAGTCAAAGAGTATTATAACATTTTCCTTACTTCGCAATAGTTACCGAGATCTTACTTAATAAAAATCATTGAATAAGTAAACACTGATAAAATCATGTTATTTAAGATAAAATTATGTTATTTAACCCTTTGCACTCCGCTGTCCCCTCTCAGGGGACATCGTAATTCTAGCATATCACTCGGATGTTCCCTCTCAGGGGACATTCAAGTTTATTAGTGATTACGGGGAATTGAGTTATCATTATAATACGTTACTTAGTTCCAAAATTATAATAAATAATACGAGGATCTGTAAATGTTCGTTTCTGCCGTAAAGTGGCGCTGAGTAGCTGATAGCCCACGTCCAGAATCGTTCGGAGTGCAAAGGGTTAAGATAAAATTATCTTTAAAAAAATAAAATTATCTTGATTACGATAAAATCATCTTTTAAAAGATAAAATCATCTTATTTCAGATAAAATCATCTTTTAAAAGATAAAATCATCTTTTAAATGTATCTTTTAAAAGATGATTTTATCTTAAAAATTATCTTTAAAAAAATAAAATCATCTTTTAAAAGATAAAATCATCTCATTTAAGATAAAATCATCTTTTAAATTTGTCTCTTAAAGAATGATTTTATCTTTTAAAAGATGATTTTATCTTAAATAAGATAATTTTATTTTTTAAAACATGATGTTTTTTTTAAAAGATGATTTTATCTTAAAAATTATTTTTAAAAAGATGAAATTATCTTGTTTAAGATAAAATCATCTTATTTAAAATAAAATTATCTTTTGAAAGATAAAATCATCTTTTAAAAAATAAAATCATCTTTTTTAAGATAAAATTATCTTTTAAGAATTAAATTCATCTTTTTTAAGATAAAATTTTGTTTTAAAAGATAAAATCTTTTTTTACATAAAATTATTTTATTTAAGATAAAATCATTGTATTGAAGAGAAAATTACCTTATTTAGATAACGTTATTTTTTGTAAGATTGCTTCTGACTTTTGATTTATTACTAATATCTTATTGTAGTAGGCCCTATACTCTTGCTCAGTCATGAAAAACTGAATATCATGATTAGCAACTACACTGAAATTTGAGGTTGGAGATTCGAGATCTGAGAGCTGAAATTTGAGATTGGGGACGAGATCTAAGATTTGAGAAAAGACTATGAATTTGGACCTTAATTACATCCGCGCACCCACTGACGTCGCGCGCAAGCGTTTTCATTTTCTACCCCGCGACTCAGGGCGCGCGCGCTTTCTCGTGTGTCTGCACACTGTAAAGTTTTATATCGGCGTGATTTGCATCGACTCGCATTTTGCTCTTTGTGCTCTTCGTGTGCGCTCACTCCCTTGTCGTCGCGGTGCCTTGTAGCAACGCGCGTATACTACATGTCTCGATTCATGTTTATATGAGCTACATGTATGACGGTGCTATAACTCGAAAAGATTAAATGAAATATATATGTTTATATTGCGCGCGCACGAAGATTGTTTTATAATGTCGAATATATGTATAAAGAAAAAGAAACAAATATGTATATTTAAATTACCACACGTATAAAAAAAAAAAACCTATTTATTAAGATATCAATAACTTTACGTGTTATTCTCTTTCTCTTTTTGTTTCTCTACTTTATAATTGGTATAATACAAGAAACAAATATGTATATTTAAATTACCACACGTATAAAAAAAAAACCTATTTATTAAGATATCAATAGCTTTACGTGTTATTCTCTTTCTCTTTTTGTTTCTCTATTTTATAATTGGTATAATACACTAAGTACGTGATCAGAAGCTAAATCTAATCGTACAAATTTAAATCGAAAAGATATTGAGTCGTAAAGAGTCGAATAATAATAAACTGTCGGAACTGTTAAAAGACCGCGTCCATGCAACGTGACAGAAAATAATTGGACGGTGATTAGTACTCACCGGACACGTTCTTTTCGCTTACAGAGCGCGGAGTCGTGTAGGAAAGCGTCGGAATCGTCGACTCGTTCGGTGACCGCCGAAGCGGATACTTCGTCAAGACGAACCGCCACAAAAGTCAAGCGGGAACCGGCGACGACAACCACCAACGCGACTACGACTACCGCTCCGCAAAATCATCCCCAGGGCCTCAGCCCGAGCGAAGATCTCAGAGACGAGCCTGGAGATTTTATTGAAACGAATTGTCACTGGAGAGAGTGTGGCCTCGAGTTTCCTACGCAGGTAATAAAATTGACAGAGCGACTGTTCTGACACAGGAACTTACAATCTCTACAAGATAGAATAGTTTGAAACTTAAAATTAAATCGAATTATGAACATTTTAAATTAAATTTTTTAATTTAAAGAAAACGAACAATATAATATTTATTTCAAACAATTATGACTTAAGGCTTGTTGAAATTAATAACAAGAAACATATAAGGCCTTACGAGCCATTCGCAGGATGTTTGAGCGGAAACTGTGCGTGTATATATATATATACATACACATGTAACGAATTCAACTTGTAAATTTTTACAAGTGAGTGTTTTTTTAATTGAAATTTCAATTCTTAAATTCATACGGGATGCTGCACTGAGAGCAAAAAATAGGTGCAGTTACCACAATTTTACTATAATTTATAGTGATTTAAGGTACACTATTTTTTTATAGTTATTTTAACAATGCGACTTATAGTTGATTCAATAATATATTATTGTTGCCATAGCTTTAACATGCATTCATACAACCATATGCATGGTTTCATACATTATAACTTGTGATTTATGTATAGTAAGTTGTACTGTAAATGTGATAATAAGGACCATAATTGAAAGATAAAAACACTATATGCCATAATAAGAAGTCGTACTTATATAATAGTAAGATTAAACTTTTTATATATAATTTGATCTATAATGCATATGGTTCCAATAGTTTTAGTGATAAAACTGATAGTTTTAGTTTTAATGATTTTTATTGTTTTTAGGAAAATAGTAAATTGTTATTTATAAATGTGGTTACTAAAATATACTATTGCTATGATTCTATGCATTGTATGTAAATGATTACTTTTCTGGCCACTTTTTTTATAGTTTCTACGATATCTTTAGTACATTCGTAGTTAAAAATATAGTTAACCAGACTATTAATGTAGTCATAAAAATGTATGTCTTAAGTTACTTTCCTTACTTATTTTTTAGTTATTATTACCAGTAAATAGTAAAGCTGATGTCAACAGTATAGTCACATTTACTATAATTGTGATTGTAATTATTACTTAAAAATGTATTTTATTTACCATCTGTTATTTGACATTTGACTATGGTACTATTTAAAATTATTATAATTTATAGCAAAATTTTTACACACTTGTCAAAACCATGTATATAAGNTTAGTTTTACTAATATTATAGCACTATTAACGATAAAAATAAGAATTCCAACTATAATTATTTTACTATGCAATTATAGTCGTAAATACCAAGCATTTTTCTCTCAGTGTGGATTTGCATCTCACATGAAAGACCCCGGATACCCCCTTAACTAATTTTAAAATATTGCGAAAAAAACTAATGTAATATTTATTTCGTTGTTATCTCTATCACGTATTAAACTAAACACATACCTGCGTTTAAACCAGGACGATCTCGTGAAACATATCAACAACGATCACATACACGCCAACAAGAAGAGCTTTGTTTGCGGTTGGGAGGAATGCCAGAGGGACGAAAAACCCTTTAAGGCTCAGTACATGTTAGTCGTGCACATGAGACGGCACACAGGAGAAAAACCTCACAAGTGTACAGTAAGTAGAGTACTCTCGCTTGTTTCTGCCGACCGAAAACTTTTTGCACTAATTAATTACACTCTGAAGCGCACCCTAACAAATGGACGGACTTTAAGAAACATATTTCATAAATGTCATTTATTGAATTTTTTCCATGTAATCAATATTTTCCATATTTTCAATATAATCAAAAAGAAAAACTAATATTGAATATATTTTTTTTCGAATGCGCACAGTTCGAAGGATGCTTCAAAGCTTATTCGCGTTTGGAGAATCTCAAAACTCATCTAAGATCTCATACCGGAGAGAAACCGTATACGTGCGAATATCCCGGATGCAGCAAAGCCTTCAGCAACGCCAGTGACAGAGCGAAACATCAAAACAGAACGCACTCCAATGAGGTAATTATTATTTTCCTTTGGTAAACAACAAGAGGAAAAAATTTTGATAGAATACAGGATTATAAATATTAGGTATTTCACAGAAAACCGACGTCTTAACGTGATGATACACATATTAGAAGGCCAAATTGCCAGAAAATGTTTACTTGATTTTATTGTATATCTAGAAACCGTACGTCTGTAAAGCTCCTGGTTGCTCTAAGAGGTATACGGATCCGTCGTCGTTGAGAAAACACGTTAAGACTGTTCATGGTCCGGACTTTTACGCGAACAAGAAGCACAAAGGCGGCGGTGGCGATGGCGGTAGCGACGAGGCCGGAACAGGCAGTCATAGTCCTAGCAGAAGCGAGGAACTTCATCCGAAGACGCCAAGTCTTTCGAGTCCCAGTGTTAAATCCGAAAGCGAAGCTAATAGTCCACCTGTCATAATGCAGCAGCAGGGTAGTCCGTTGGTAGCTGGTTGCAACGACGAGGTCGCTGGCGTAGGTGCGATCACCAGTGACGGTATCGTTCTTGCTGAAGAGCCATGGAACGAAGAACCCGATGATCTAGACATTGCTGACCTTCCTGTGGCGTTGCGCGCCATGGTGAGTCTTTTAGGACACAGTAAATTTCGTCAAATAAAAAATAAAAGAGCTCGAATTCAATTTTTTTTTTTTTTTTTTACTGTGTTTATCAGGTCGGTGGAATGGAATCGCAACAGCAACAACAAGTGGCGCAGCCAACTTCGAGGAATCGTCTGAAAGGAAGACTGAACGCTAAAGGAGTGCCGAATATGCCGGTCACCGTGGCAAATGTGCGAGGAATTCGCGGTGTCGCACCTCAGAGCGGTAATATCGGGGATCTGAACAGAAGGATCACCGACTTGAAAATGGAGACCGGCGGTCAGACGCGGCAGACGAGTCTGTCCGATCTCCAGCTGAGGTTGCAGCCGCTCGGCGAACCACGACGAGACAGCAACAGCACCGTCAGTACTTATTACGGCAGCATGAGATCCACCGATTTTGGTAGCAGAAGAAGCAGCCAGGCGAGCGGTGTCAGTGCTGTCAGAATGGGACCAGTGGGACCAGAAAGTTTCTACGATCCGATTAGTCCCGGTACGTCCAGAAGGAGCAGCCAAATGAGCACCACTTCCGGCCGGGCCAATCCGTCAAATCACCTTCAAGGACCGTACTCGACAAGTAATCTCGTTGTTCAAACGCAAAACATGTCTCTTCAGGTAAGTTTGGTTTTGTACGTTTTACGAGCAGAGAAAAAAAATAGAATTTTTCATAACGTAACATTTACAGAACATTCAAGCAATGCCAAGCGATTGGAATGCTCCAAGCGGTCATACTCAACCATCGGGCGATCGCCGAATGTCCGAACCTATTCGCAGTAACCAGGTTCAAAGGATATCTCCTCCAATTCCGCCGAGACCACAATCTGCACAACTGCCCGAGTTTCATCCGAATCAGGAGGTGGTCCTGGACGAGATGGGTGAAGGTGAATTAGTAGAAAACAAACTGGTTATTCCGGATGAGATGATGCAGTATTTAAATCAGGTAATCACTCCTTTCTCGATCTTGGTGACAGTTTTCTCGTGTCAATTTCTTTTTGATCTCTAATTGATATATATATATATTTTTTTTATAGGTTCAAGCAGGCGGAAATCAAGCTGGTTATCGCGGAAGTCCTCTACCAATTTGCCAATCGCCTATATGCACAAATCCTCTGCATTATCAACGACAAATGCAGCCCGCGTGCAATTACAATCAGCAGAACTGCTATCCCATTCAGCAACTTGCTCAGCAATCCTGTCCTAATTATCAAAATTCCTCTTCCGCGTCTTATCAGTGTCCGAGTTCGCGTGCGACACAATCGGCGTCGCAATACTGTCCACCACCGAGTTACGGATCTCAAGTTCCTGGTGGACAAGTGGCGAGACCAGCGGCTGCAGATCCGGTTATGTCGCCGAGTTCTCATTATGCTACGTCTCACTTGAGCGATCAGCCGCTCACCTCGCCCGCGGCAGGCGCGTTGGCGCCGCAACACGCGCCCCAAAACTTGCCCCAGAATTCTGCCCAAATGACCAGAAATTGTCCACAAAATCACGCGCATCACATGTATTATCCAAGTTACGGTTGTTCAGGTCAGATGAATGCGAACTGCAATGTCACTAATGCTGGTCAGACCAGCCATCATTCCAATCAGACTTGCGCGCCATCGAATCACAACGTGCAGATGCGGATGACGAACAATTGCCAGCAATTGTCGCCACACTGCCCGCAGCAAACCGCATCCATACCTAATCCTCAAACTGCCGTTGCTCATCCAAATTCGCAGTGCAACCAGTCTTCTGGTCAGTGTGCGAGGTCCCTGGTAACGCTAAACGGACAGATGCCTAATATGCATTCTGCCCAGCAACCTTCGGTGACGAATCACTGTGGTCCGATATCGCCACTTTGTTCTCAGCTGAACGTTACAAATCAGGGCAAACCGATTAATATGCTCACGGCGAATCATCCGGGATGCCAGCAACAAACCCAACAGTCCAATACGGGACAATCTTGCGTACAACTTACCAACTGTGTTCATCCTAATAACCCGCACCGTCAAGTTAACGACGATGCTACCGCCCTGAAAAGGGCGTCACCGCAACTTTGTAATGCTCAACAGATTAACTGTAGAATGCAACAGCAGCAGCAACAACAGACCTGCGCGCACAATTGTCAAGCACGCGCCAATCTACCGACTCAGCAACAATATAACTGCAACTGCCAGTGGGCTTACGGAAATCAATGTTATCACGATCAACAAAACGGATCGTTACCTGAGATACAGTGCAGGGATATTAGCCAGTCACAGCAGGGTTCGCCGTTGAAGCCGCCTCAAGGAATGAGACAGGATTCCTACCGCCGGACCTTGGAGTACGTGCAGCAATGCAGAAACTGGTCCGGCAACGCGCAATCACACGAGACCAACGTTTCAAGCTCGACGCATCCCATGTCTTTGCCTCAACCGTTACCGGCTAGCACCAATATGATTGTCAACGACATGACTTCTTCACTCAGTTCTTTATTGGAAGAAAACAGATATTTGCAAATGATTCAATGACTCGTGCCTCTACAACAGAAAAAAAAATGAGACCAATTTCATCGTCTATTTGATAAAAAATATTTCAATATACTGTACCGTCATATTATATATATATATATTTTTTATATATGTGTAAAATATTTAACATTTATATGAAATTTTACATATATTATAGTTACGGTATAAAGATTTCAAAGAGCCTTTTTAAAAAATTGTACAACACGCGCGTGCACAGTGCCACTGACTTAAATTATTATTTTTTGACACTAAATATATATATATATATTTTACTTTGTGTAATGTTTAGAATTCTCGAAGAGATTGAATAACGCAATAGCATTTCATATACATATATAACATTTATACATTGAATAATATTATTAATTAACAGATAAAAATAAGTGACATATATTTCTTTGGTTTAATGAAGAAAGTGCGATTAAAATAAATTAAAAAGTATCGCAAATACAGAACATTGTTGAAAGAAACTATGTACTTTAAATTATACACACTGTAGATATAGCGATTTTTGTGTAGAGAGACATATATTTGTATAGACTTTGTACATCAATTTTTTTTCATACAAAGTGTGCCAAAATATAGCGTTGTCTTCGTAGAGTTGAGCTCAATAACGTGTACATCGGCGTACACTGTGATACAAAAAAAAAAGATAATAATATGTGAATACTTACTTATTGTAGTTAATTAAACAATAAATATAAGAAAACCACAAAAAGTCGAACACTTGGACAAAAGACAATGGTTAAAATGAGCGAATTTTAAATCTCGTGAGAAAAAATCCCAAAGTTTTCTCGTACCAGTTACTAAATTCGCCTATTTTGAGCGATATACTGTCATTTTGATCAAAATTTGTTCGTAAGAAGAAAAATTGTCAGTAGAAAAAACCTGTATATAAATAAAAGTAAGAGAAAGAGAAGTTCGTTAAAAAGAAGATAAATACAATCAATGTGAGTGTACGCGTGTATGTTTCCAAATCGAGTGTTTTTTTTTTTTTTTGTAATATCTTTTGTGTGTATATGTGTGAAGAAAGACTAGGGTAACGAGTATTACAATGTAATCAACTGTCTTGATCTGCGATTAACTGATGCAATAATATATCTATCTTCAAGTGCCTTAAAATAATCGTTGACAAGTGATTTATTTTAGGAAGACAAAGAATGAATGAATGACGAACTTAAAACTCTCAAAAAATGCTGTACTTATATAAATGTTTTTGTTACATGTAAACGATTTTTATATAAATTTTATGCAACTACATTGAAAAAAAAAAAAAAAAAAAAAACTGAAGTTATTCTGTGAATATAACGTACGTTTATAGAATACGTGAACACATTATATACTAAAGCATGTACGATAGTATATGGAATAAAAGTAACCCAGATTGAGAGAGAGTCTTATATGAATATCTACACCTATGGGAAATTGTTAATTATTTTGAGAAAAAATAAATCCACATTAAATTTACAATATTTCTTTTTTATTGAAAAATATTTCTTGCGTGCTTCTCACTTGCTAAAACTACACACACGTGTATTATTTCGCAGAATATATAACGGTAAAATAAGAAACAGATGTGTTCACCAACTGTAACACGTAAAAGATTTGCACTTTAATATTTTTTTTTGTTTTTCTTATTGATCAACACAACAATATACATTGTGTATAACATTACGCGTAAAATGTTCAACGTGTACCGTAGCAAAACACTGTAGAGATGCTATAAACAATCTACCGACGTTCAGACCAAAACTTTTGCTACCTCTTTGTATGAGAAGCAATATTAGTCTTTGAAAACGAACAGGAGTCAGATACCATGGAATGTCGTACCTGTATAGAAATTGTGCGGAAACAAATCGGATTTGTAAAAAAAGAATGGAAGTTTATTATCTTCTATGTGCCGAATTATTTCAACAGCATTGAAAATCAGCTGGAAAAATACCGCGCATAAAAGAGAAATCTCCTTTCCCTCTAACGGAATCTACCCTTGTAGGAATTGACGAACGGCCCAGTATTGGGTCAATATCGGCAAACGAGGCTCGATATTGGTACGACAGTAGTAGCCAGTACTGGGCGAATATGCTTAATGATTAGGTCGGGCCAACGCTGGCTCTTAAGCTCGGCACGATACTTACTTCCGAGATTGGTCAGATATGGATTTCAAGTATTGGCACAATGTTGCAATTTTACTGTACACAAAATATTCACAATTATTCACAAGATACACTTAAACACAGTTATCAAAATGCAAACTAATTCAGAGTATTCTGTGAAAACTATAATCTAGCTAATCAGGTTAAGTTAGGTTAACTTTCCAAGATCAGTAACTTACTACCATGATCAAAAAATAACCGGAATTTTTAATTTAAACCTCGCGGGCTTATCGATTTAGAATTCTGTTGTTTGTGTCACGTTGGCAGCACTGTTACGGACACCCATGCCAAGCTTCTGCTTATCAGCTGTTCATTTACCTTTATGACAGTGATTTCTTTACATCAAGTTTTTACGTCGCGGCGATTTTTACAATGGATTAAAAACTTGAACAACGTTCTTGCATTAAATTTTGCTATAAAAATGAAATTAAGTGTTCCGACACATTAAAAAT